GTTTTACCAGTTGTTGTTTCTCACTAGTAAGCTTGTCAGGCTTTGTTTCTGAGAAGAGATAATGAATATAAGTCTGTTTTCCTGTTCTGTGTACCATGGTACCTGTCTAATGGATCTAATTAAGCTAATACAAAACTCTCTAGATTATCAAATACTGTTCCATTAACGTATTTGAAGTCATATTTTTATTGTCTGAATTATATTTGAAGACACAGTGGGTATGTGTTGAAGATGAACACAAAAGAGAAGTCAGTATGGCCAAAACTGCTTCTTGTGAAAAGCATCTGCTTAGCCTCTGGAAAGAAAGGTGGAGCCAGTTGCTGAGGGTAGGGTTTGCATGCTTGTAGTATGACATACTGTCCATAAGCTGTGCTTCCTAGGGGGGGAAAAAAAAGAAAATTTAAAATCTCAGAATAGATAATGTGAGGAAATTTTTAATATCCATTAGATATTAATAATATTCTCTGAAAGACTCTAGTTTTGAAAATAGGCTTTTTTTGCTTAGTCATTTGATTGAATAGTCATAGTAATGTAAATTAAATTACTGGTGTAGAACAGCTATGATTCTATACACTCCTAGAAAACTTGTGCTTTTTGTTAGTTGAAGATTCTTATGTTGAAATAGTAAATCATTTGTGATTTCCAGTAAGAACTGGAATTAGGTCCTACATAACCTTTTTTTCCTCGGTGTCATACTTTTAACACAGCGCTTCTTGATGTGCTGTAGAACTGCGTAGAGATGGGACAGTCTGTGAATAAGGGAACCGTGATAACATATTGCAAAAGTATGTTTATTGAGGACCATTAAAGAGATGAAGTGGGAAACAACTAAGGCAGGATCTCCATGCACACGCACTTAGCTCAGAATATAAAGTCTTTATAATTTAATGATTTGTGTCACTGACAGTATAGGTCGGTCAAGGTACAGGAGTGGATCCTGCACTTTAAGGTCTGTCTGGACTAAGTCACTGGCATTAATAAAATTTCTCTCTCTTGAACCAATGCTCACAGTGATTCAGCTGTAGGAGCTGATGGATGAAACAAGTTTCCACACCTTTAAATCATGAGAAGCTTCCAGTTGTGATGCTGAAACATGCCTGTGGTGTTTATTCCAGCAGTGAAACCATCTTTATCACTGTTGTGGACAAGAGCTGGTCATTGTCCTGGTGGTGGTAAATGCACCTCCAAAATGCTAGGGTTTAAAAGCATGAGAGGGAGACCTATAATCAGATATATTTTATTTGTCTTTAGTCATAAGCACAGAAGAACCACTCATGTTTTAACTTTAATCCTTAGATATATCAGTAAATTGTGTTCACTGTAATTTGAATTTCTGTGTAATAAATGAGCATTGTTAAAGGTAATGGACAGAACTGCTTGTAATGCTGTTCAGAATATCACTGGAAATGTTGTGGGTTTTTTTCCCCCACATTAAATTTAAATATTTCCTAAACCTTAAAAAAAGTCCAGAATTTAACTGTGTCCATTCATATGAGCAATGGAATGGAACTACACTTGGCTAAAGAATGAATTACTCGTAAAATAGAGGAGATGGAAGATCAGCAAAGACCTCAATTGTTCTCTTATTTGTAACTTTTATCAGGTTTCCTGTCCACAGAGAAATGTTTCCAAGTTAAGATGAAACATAACATTAAAATGAGTTGCTGTTCTTACATGTTTTGACAGTTTTTATAGCTGGTGGGTTTTGTTGAGGAATTTCAAAGTAAATGTATCTTCAGTAATATCTTCACACAGATATACTGCAGTTGTACTCGTTGACTGTGCCCACGTCCAGTTAAAATCTGTATATATTTTTTAAAAGGACTAGTTGTATGTCCAAGCTGAGGGAGATTCCAGTCTGAATGATGGACTCTATTGGTATATTATTTAAAGCCTGCATTACCTGACAAATATTCCACCAAAATACAGTATGGTTTGTTACCTTCTGATTTCTTAGCTGTGTACATGTACAGATTAAGCAATCCATGCTGTGTGTACATGTGCACTTGTGAGAGTAAGCGAGATAAATGATTGCTAATTATGATACACAGTTTCATTCCTCTGTGTTACAGAATAGTATTTTGGTAGCAAACTGTATCAGCATGCTTATGATACACGAACATACGGAGTTTTTAAATGTAGCTCACACCGGATCTTAACTAATCATCAATCTGTTGATGATCTTTGCCAAACAAGCAAGTTTAACCCTCCTGTATAAGCCCTAGTAATGCTATTTTGTCTTTCTTCTGCTTAAAACTGCAAGATTGGTCATAAGCTTCCTCTTTCAGATACACTTCAGAGACAGACTAACATCATGTGTCAAGGCGCAGTACGGAACTGTGTGTGTGTGCATGTGTGTTCATGTTTTATCATCTTAGCAAAGCACTGCCAGAAATCTTGCTGCATCTTGCAAAAAGAGTTGTTGTGAAGGGGTGAGGTTAAAAATAATCCGAAGAATTACAAATGTGAAATACTTGAACGTTATAAAATCAAGCCTAGAAAAGGGTTGCCTGGTTATTTGATCCAGTGAATCTGCACTCACGAAGATCAGATGTTTCTCTGTGACACCTTTGCTTCATTCAGTGCAGAGGATGCAGTTTATTATCTCAGTTTCTGCACAGGAGTAAAACAGAAGGCAATTTTCTGCACAGCTGAACTGAGAAGAAAGTCTGCATCTCAGCTTGATCTAAGTCTTGACAGGGCTTACATAAGGTACTTGGGTCTGCAGCTCTATTGCCCCCTCATTCACATAAACCAACACAAAAGGTGTGCATAAGTGATAGTTGGTGTCACACAACACTCAAACAGATCCCCACATAGATGTAATGATATGAAAATATTAAACCAGAAAATGTTCCACACTGCCATAATAGACAGTCCTGTTCATGTTAGAGGTGGATGTAGGAAAGGACTGTGAGTCTAAACAGCTTTTGAAAATGAAAAGTGCTTTTTTAACTTACAGCATAACTAGGTATTACAGGATAATTTCCTCTGAAGTTAAATATCTTCATGATAAAAGCAAGCAATATAAATAGATAGTGTGAATGCCCTATAGAAATTACAGTGGTACACTAGACATCTCAAATGTTGTAATAAATAGGCAGATGCTGCTATTAAGCTGGAACCCTGTTACAGCTGAGTGGTTACCTTCTAGTGTGGATTGCCACTTCTTTTCTTGATCACGTAACAGATGGCAGCTAATCCATCGTGAGAGCGAGGGAAGGCAGCACGTCCCTCTTAAAACTAAACACTACAAAAGCTCCAGGGGAAAGATCTTATACACTGGATGATTAAATGCTGTTTAAAAAACTTGTAAATCAGTTGTTTGTTGGGGTTTTTTGGGGGTGTGGTGGTGTTTCTGGTTTGCTCGTTTCTTGGAAACAAGCAAAAAAAACCCTCTAAGTAGGGAGGATGTGGTGGTGTATCTCCTGAAGGTTGAACACGTCGCGGTGTTGGCTTTACTCCCTTCCAAACAGCAAACCTGCTGCTGTTCTCTGTCATTTGCATGATACATAAGCAATTTGTTTTGGGCTAGTTCTTGTGTTTGGGGTTTTTTTTTTCTACCTGCCATTTTATTTCAGGCCATTCCTGATGTGACTAAGATCCCATACTTTGACATCTGTCTGGTATAGAGGAAGGTGGCAAAGCCTGCCGGTAGCTCATCCCACTGACAGTTCATCACCAATGAAGCAGCAGGTCTCACACCCTTGGCAAGCTTAGAGAGCACTAACCTCTTGGTTTTCAGCTAAGTGATAACCAGTTTTGCAGACAAGCAACGTGAAGCAGTGTGCGTCCAGCCAAAAGCCACACAGTGTCACCCGCTTGGTTAACAAGAGCGAGATCGTTATTTCTCTGAGTGCGTGGAGTACAGCAGTAGGAATGCCATGTCAAGGAAAATTAAATTAAGGCAAATCCCAAAGATTGCAGCGTTGGCTGCAATTCACCTTGCTGTGCTCCAGATTGGCACCTGCTTGGAGCTGTCATGTTCATTTAGGATAAGATGCATCCATTTTGTGTGAGAATGAAGCAAAATTGTCTGCTTGAAACTACAATGAGGAAACTTTGCCACAGTTTCCTCTCTCCACCTCCTGTCTTCCCTTCCCTTCACAGCCATATTTAGCAACCGCTGCCAGATAGGCAATGCAAATTTAAGGCTGTAGGAGTATCAGCTTTACAAAAAGCTGATACTCCTACAAGGTGGAAAAACTGGGTATCTATTAAAAAAAGCATTTTGCAAGAATAATTACTGTTGTTATGCAGGGAGGAGGAATAAATGACCCCTTACACTCCCTTGGAAAACATAAATTTAGCCCAAGAGAGTCTACTGACCCTTTGGAAAAAGCTGCAGTTGTGTTTTTAAGGATTGCTCCATGCACACAGACACTCAACCTTGGAGGACTCACATTCTTGTTGCTGCAGCCATCACATTGCAGTGGCCAGTGCTGCAGACCCTGCTTTACTGGTGCAGCATTTACCAGTTTTGCTTCCTTGTCTGTGGTGTGGAGGTGGCAGATGAAGCTGTGGACGATGCAAGGAGTTGGGATGTCTCCTCACTTGTTTCAGCCTTGGCCAGGGACATGCCATGTTTGCCCCACCTTTTCTGTTTAGTAGACCATCAGAATAGCAGTATTGTGCCTGATTCAGTGTTCCCAGTAGGGACCAATTGGGTATGCCTAGGGCATACTGGGGGAGAGGGCCAAGCAGACAGTGAGAAGCTTCCTGTACCGGTACTGCATTCCCAAAGGTGGTCCTAGTTTCCTCATCACTGTTGCCACTCCATGACCCTCCATCTCTCTGGGGACAGGAATCTGGGATGAGTAGTAGGCACTTACAAACTGAGTTTTAATGAAAGTTGTCAGGTTTCCATAACCCAGATCTGTTTGCACTACCCTTTTAAAATCCAATATTTGTAAAACCCTAAAGATGTGACCTTTTGTTAGACTGTTAAAGAGTATTTTTGAGCCAGCTTTTCCCTTTTACTACTCTTATTTTCTGTACAGTCTATTGCTTCAGCAGACATGGATTTGAATCAGCTGGAGGCTTTTCTCACTGCCCAAACCAAAAAACAAGGTGGCATCACATCAGACCAAGCTGCAGTCATTGCAAAATTTTGGAAGAACCACCGAATGAAGATCCATGAGAGCCTGATCAATCAGAGCCGTTGGGATAATGTCCTGAAAAACATGAACTGGAGAGTGGATCTGAAGTCACAGTCAAGACACATTGATCAGATAAACACTCCTGTTGCAATAGTTGAAATGGAACTGGGAAAAATTGGGCAGGTAAGCTTTCTGTTGCAAAATACATAAACCTGATTTAGCTGTGTATGTACTGAGACATTTTACCTATTGCTGAATTCTCTACATCCAAATTAAGTCAGTGTATTTTTCACTACCAGGCCTTTAATGTACTTGAACTTGTGGTCCGTCTTCGGATACAAAGATACATTCTGGCTGGTGAATGATATTTGTGTTGTTTTTATATCTCCATATATGTATGGAGGTATAAAAATATAGAGATATAAAGCTCTCTTCACATTAATCTTCAAAAATCTGAGGATGCAGAAATAAAACATAAAATCAACCATACCAGTAATTATATTTGTATTCCATTGTTGTGGTATAGACACCAGGACATCCATGCACTGCAAAGTCCATTAGTCTTTGTTTGTTTGTTTTATTTTTCTAACCAAATACTAAAATTAGATGATATTTGCAAAGTAGAAGCTGAAAAAGGATGAAGTTCACAGATTATGATGATCAAGCATCCCTTACACTTTAGGACAAATGAGGGGAAAGACTCCTTTATTTTACATAACACCTATTTTCGTGTTACATCTTTATTACCAGTCACACACTATACAATCTGGTCTCAGGCAATCTGGCCTGAGAAAAAGATATAGCTCTATCAGTGCTAAACACTGCATTTCTTTTTAATCTTTGGCATTCATATGAATGTATAACTGAAGGCACGGCTTCCCGTCTTCAATCTTTCTGTCTTTTTCTGACAGGAAATGTGTTTCAGTTTGTAATCTCTTTTTCTCTGCAATGTGTTTGTGCATCTTAAAACCTCATTTCTTAGCAGCGGCTACTGCAAATCATACCATGAGCTGCTTTGGGGGTTTTGATGTTAACAGTTAACATTTAGCAAGTTGCCTTGGATTTTATAATATTTTAGTATCTTCTAGCAGACGAGTACCTGGATTATGTATACCTAAAATATGTATGTGTGTGTGTATACACATACATGCCTGGGATACACCTATGCTGACTGAATGATTTAATTGAAACTGTGTGGTTGTACCATGGCCAGAATGAATGTACAAGTAAATTGGGATTCTACAAAGTCAGTAGATATTGTTGAAGTTACTGTGTTTATCCACTTTTCCCCTCAGTCTTTGAAAGCTTATCCTTCCTAAGTGCTGACCCTCTGCCTTCCACTTGAGTATCTCTGCAGTGACCAATGCAATAATGGTGTGTGGGTTTAGGTTTTTCTTTCCTAGTGTCAAAAAAGTGGAGATTTCTCCTCTTGAGATTGGAAACAATTATATTCTATTAGTAACAAATGGAAAAAGTTAAGAAAAAAAAGGTTACAGGAGTACCATTGAATTAGTACATCAGTGAGCAAATGGCAAAAATACCCATGTTCATTTAAGATAAAATACAAAACCTTAACTCAGAACCACTGTTGTATTTCATAAGGGAATTATGTAGCTCATGACTCTTGTTTTGAAATTGCTTTTTCGCCAGTAACGGATTATTGCGGTAACATCAATGAGCAAGTACATTTGTATTTCTTCCACTCTGTGCAGCATGAGAAAGGGGATGTGAACTTGAAGGAAGAATACACATTTCAGAGACACTGTCATTCCTTTTACCAGAGGGTCCCACAACTAAAGGAAATGAGTTATTGTAGCAATGCAGCTTCGTATTTCAGAGGGAAGCAGTTGTGTGAATGTGCTTTTTTTGAACTGCCACCAGGCATAACTTTTGCCTCCACTGCTGAGGACAGTAGTGAGCTGTCAGCAAGTGTCTGATACTTGGTGCGACTGAGGGTATTAGACTGGTGCTTCCGGAAATAATCACAGACTAATTAGCATTGTCACCACTTGAGTCAAAATTGGCATTTACTTTAAGGAGCTGTGGTTTCACATGGTCTTTAGCTTTGGATTAAATAGGTTCTCTGCTTAAAAGCTTTTGGTTGAGGCAGTCCACATCAGGCTGCACACTCCTGTGATGAGCTGAGTTTTGGGAACCCCAGGACTGAAATGACAGCAAGCAGGTTGCCAGAACAGTTCATCGAGCCCTCAGCCTCTTCCCACATGTGTTTGGAGACCTCCTGGAAAGAGACTACTACTGGAGGTTGAACAAGTTGTTCTTGCACACTGGATCCAGTCAATAAACTTAAAACCATCACGTTTTATAGCCTCTATATGTATTTTTACTTTATTGTTAATACATTTATATCAGTTCTAAATATCAAGTTTTGTAGCACATCACATACACATATGCTGGTAACTTTCTGAAACTTAACGAAGAGAATGTCTTTGCTAAAAGGTTGTCAGTCATAGGTGTGATTTGGCGAATAGTGAAGATCTGGATTTGCAGAAGAAAGCTGGCTGATGATTCAGGAGTAAATTATTTAGAACAGATTGTTTTCATTTGGACACTTGATAACAGGGGAGTATACAAATGCATTGATGTGTAATGAATTGATGTTAATATTTCATGTTTCAACAGAAGCAAAGAAATACTCTGTAGAAAATGTACCTTTCCAGAATTTAAAGTCGCTCTGATTCTTCTCTGTGTCTCTGGGCTGGATTTAGATGTCTGCCCAGCAGAAGGCAAGACAGTTTGGTGGAGTGTCTGCTCCTTCATCTTCAATAAATGACCTTGCTTTCTGCTTGCCATCTCTGAATTTTAATCAGGCAATTCTTTCATGATGGAAAGACTCTATGTGTATAGACCTGATATGCCTAGAAATGGGGAATTTGAAGTGACTGGTTCATAAATGCCACTAGACCAAGTTTACATGGACTTTGTTACATTTCACAAACATTTTCTGATGGAAGAGAGATGTTTCTGCGTTTGAGAATCCATTACTACTTGCATGCATTACTTCTTACTAGCCTTGGCATTTCTTCTTAGTGCTCTTAAAAACACTTCTGATGAGAAACATTCAGAAATACTGGTGCTCCAAACTTCGGAAAGTTTGGTTCAGGATGTATGACTTGCATCTCGAAGTCAGCTTCTTCAGTAAAGATTTACAGTGACATTTGAAGTTTCCTTTATGCTGGTTACATCTTGGTTAAAGGCAGATGAACACACTAACCATGAAGGACTTGGCTTTGAAAGCCCATTTTCTTTAACAATATGGCTAAAAATAAATTCCCAAAGCAGTTGCACTTTAGCCTGCATTTGCCTTCATCTGTTCACGATATTCACCACTTATCACTGCCAGTTCATTCTTTTCCTGTCAACAGCCCATCTTTGGCGCAGTGGTTTTATCCTCCTGCATCTCTATACCTTGCTGGCTTTCTCTTAAAACACCTATAGCTCCATGCCCCTTTCTTTATGTCTTTGTTCTTCCTCTCTGAGTATTGCTGTAAAGCTCTTTTGGCATGAAATTTCAACTGGATGCGAACCTGCTGCAAGGGACAGTGGCAAGAGCTGCAGTCGCCCTTCTCGTGCCCTTCCTGCCCTGCTGCACCAACCCTGGCTCGTATGGTGAGCAGTCACTGCTGCACAATGTTAGGTTACCTGCAGATTTCTGTCACAGATTTATGTCTGACCTTGTCATTAATAGAAAATAGATGCATTGGTTTTGCACTGTGGTTTGGCATTAAGATATTTAAATTTGGTTTATGGATGTTGTCATGTTATTTTGCTTATGAGATGTGTCCCTCTCATGGGGCTGTGTTCTTCCCACTAGTATTGTGAGCTGATTTGCCATTAAGTTTTACTTTCTTGCAGCAGTATATTTATTTTCCAATTTAGTATCTGAGACTGGTCAAATGTTATAGATTAGCTGAGTATTTGCTCTTGGCTTTTATGCTTAAACTTATTTACAGAATGGGTATTTCCACATGCATTTCTTTTCATTGTTTAAAATACTGTTAATCTATGTAATAGCACTTTTATTGGAGTTTTGTGGGATGTTAAGCATGTTATATGAGCAAAGAGGTTTTTCTGCCCTAATTTAACTTCAAGTCTGGGATTCTGCTGCAGGATTCTTCCCAAAAGGCCTGCAGAAATTGCATCAGGATTATGGATGGGAGGGGTTTTCTGAAATTTCATCAACTTTCAGTTTGTATGACTATGAAGATTTTATTCTTCTAGTGTTCTGGGAAGGAGTGAAGTAGATCTTAAAGAAAATTAAGTTTCTGACTTACTAATTACATATATTCTACACAAATCTAGGTGAAATTTGTATCAGCTGTGCTATAAACAAATGCAAAGTTGAATTCACACACATAGACAAATACTAAAATAGAACATGATTTCACAGTAAAGTAGTAAAAGAATATTATTATTATTTAGCTTCTATAAATCTCATTACCTTGTTAGCATTACAGATTGACTGCTGCTGAGCATCTCTTGGTCTTTGTCACATTTCTGTAAGCACAGGTCTCTTGGCTGCTATCTCCAGCAGTAGCTTTCACCAATAGAGAAAAGTCAGATCAAGAAATCATCATGAGTAAAAACTCATGCTATAGAATGGAAGGATTATGGCTGCACTTGCTTTTGACTCTGGGTGACTGTAGGTCAGGCTGCTCCAGAGCTATCTCTTAAAATAACTTCAGATAATGGACTTCCTGTCTTTTTTATGTAGGATCTATTCTGAAAAGACGTATTGCCTTTTGTACAATATCGGTATGAGCAAAGTGATGCTCTGGGAGATGAATAGCAGTTCTAGGTACCCGAATCAAAATAAGGGCAGCCTGGCCTGAGAAGGGGGAGGAAAAACAACCACTAAACTGTTTCTCTTTTCCAGCCTTAATCCACTTTAATCTTTGTAGTTATTAACATTTTCAGAAATGTTGTTCCGGTCAAAAATGGAAAAACACGGGCATTTAGAAGCGGAATTGATCAACTGAACTGCAACAGGATTAGTACTTTTAAGTGATTAAAAATATAAAACCCGTTAAGTAGAAGTTAGTGGAAAAAAATCACCTTTGTGGCCAAGCCGAATGTCATCACTTGAGCTTTTTGTTCACCTTGGAAATTTATGAGCTGGAGGGAACAGTTACATAAGGCAGTACAGTGCAAAAGCAAATAAAAAC